GGCTCAGAACGGGCACAATGCCACTTCCTCCCACATGCCAGTGGCCAGCGCCAGTCCTACGGCCAAGCAGAGCCAAGACGCAGGGAGATACCCTCCTCCCAGGGTGAGGCTCGGAGAGGGTATGGATGCAGGCAGCTGGGAAGAATCAGGCCCCAAAATTCAGTCTACGCCCTCCCCAAAGGCCAACGCCCTCAGGCAAGTAGGACATTAATAAAAGGAGCCAGGAGGGGATGGGTGATGGTGGTCATTGTCACAGTCCAGCAGGGATCTTTCTCTGGGCAAGTGTTGTTTAATGTTCTTAACTATGAATTTGCAATGTTGCTGCAGCCCGGGCTCAGTGTGGGCGGAATGCTTTGAGGGTCATCAGGAAGAAGAGAGAAGAGCCCTGGTTACCTTCGGGAGCTCTGTTCTTTGAGGGATAAGACTTGTGTTCAGAAACGAGATGCAAGTGAGCCGGTGCCCAGTTGTGTGACGTGGGCTGTGGGGCTCAGAGCAAGGAGAGACCAGCACCGGCCACAGAGGACTTGGTGGGAGGGGAGGAGTGACACTAACCTCTAAAGCGCATGTGTTGCGTGCCAGCCGTTGAGCCAGATTCTCTCCTGCCTTGCTCCTCGTGTGACCGTCCTGTGGGGCACTAGGATTAGCCTCCATTTAGCAGATGAGGAAAGGGAGGTGCAAAGACTCAAGTAACTTGCCTGTGGTCACCCAGCTGGTAAACACTGGCACCAGCCTCTGGCAACCAGAGCCTGGGCATTGATCGCTGGGTCTGTGACTGGACGCCTGGGGGGAAGGGAACAGCAAAGGTGCAGACAGATGTGCGGGGAGGACAGCTGCCATCCTGCCAGAGCTGCAGAGGGGACTTCAGCCATGTTACGAACTATAAATGGGAGCAAAGATAGGATGTGCGATTTGGCCAAGGTCCTGCAGCAAAATAGGGTGGAGGCTGGGCTAGAAATCCGAGCTGCTGGCTCCTGTTTCCCTCTCCTTCCACTTTCCTTGGTACCAGCCACATTCTGGGCTCTCTCCACCCATCTGCGTGGCCACGCCTGAATCTCTTCCCTCTTGGAAGAGGTGCAATCCACTGGCATTGAAGCTGGGTGGACTGGCTCCCTCTCTCTATCCATCTCTTTCTTCCTTTCCCCTGCCATGTTCTGGAAAGGGCAGCGGGAGGGAATGTGGGCAGGTTGCACCAGAGATATACATCTGAGAGCTGAAGGGAACATTTATTTTTAATTTAGACTTAAAAAGAAAAAAGGAAGTTATAAAATATCTGCTCTTGCTCCTGGGATTGTGCAGATGGTGCTGCGTTTTGCCTAATAGGGAATGGGGCTGGCATCCGCGAGCTGCTGGTCCCCGCCTGACTGTAAGGACCCGGAGGGCAGGATACCTGTCCCCCGACCTCAGCCGCGGGTGACTCCCGAGGGCCCCGTTTGGCCAGCGCAGCTCGGTATTCCCTGTCTTCCAACCTCAGCCCCCCCACACTCCCTCTGCCAGTCTCTCGGCTGTCCCGGCTGTCTCTGCTCTCGTGTACACACACACACACACGCACACACACAAACACACACACACACACATGCACCTGAGATCAGTCCTACCCCCTCCCCCGGCAGATAGCCAGGGCACACTGACCTTTTCCTTCCTGAACTCCTGTTTGGATGATAGAATTTATCGACCTTACACACGCCCAAGTACCTCATTAAACTATCTTACCATTTTCATGCCTGAGAGTCGTAAGTGACGTCCTCATACATTTTCATGTTTGGTCTTTGTGTTTGTTGTGGGTAAGGAATAATCTCTGGTGTTCTCCACTGGGAGTGGGGTGGGACTTGGTACACAGAAGGTGCTCCATAAATAGCATGGAGCATTGACCGAATTCCTCTTCCTTTGTGCTCAGGGGGATGAGCTGGAGAAGGAGCACCCTAGAACTGCAGTCTCCAACTCTTGGGCCATGGACCAGTACCGGTCCGTGGCGTGTTAGGAACCAGGCTGCGTAGCAGGGGCTGAGCCATGGGTGAGTGAGCGAAGCTTCACCTGTATTTACAGCCACTCCCTGTCACTTGCAACACCACAGAAGCTCCACTTCCTGTCAGATCAAACAGTGGGATTAGATTCTCATACGAGTGCAAACCCTACTGTAAACTATGTGTGCAGGGATCTAGGTTGCACGCTCCTTATGAGGGTCTAATGCCTGATGATCTGCCGTGGAGCTGAGGTGGCAATGCGCGTGCTGGGGAGTAGCTGCAATACAGATTATCATTAGCAGGGAGGTCTGACTGCACAATAAATGTAACCCACCTGAATCATCCTAAAACCATCCCCCCCCCTCCCCTCCCCCTCCGCTCCAGTCCATGGAAAAACTGTCTTCCATGAAACCGGTCCCTGATACCAAAAATGTTGGGAACCACTGCCCTAGAATCAGAGAGTCAGGGCCCCGGAAACGGAATCAGGAGACCTGAATCGCTCTCTAGCTTGCTGCGAAGGCATAGGCAGATCACTGAATTTCTCTAAGCCTCAGCTTCCCTATTTGGAAAATATGGAAAGTAATCTCTATTTTGTCTGATCCCCAGAGTTATTGTGAGGATTATGGTAAGTGACATATGGGGAAATGCTTGGCAAAATCAATCAATCAATCAATCTCTTTAAGAAAGTGTGAGCAGACTTGTGCTAAATAGTCAGAGGTGCTGGTGTGGGTACCAGGCCCGAGTTAGGGCAGGAGGTTGGGACAGGGGGTGGGGGTTGTCCAACAAAGTAAAAGCTCACTGGTCACAGAGCCATGGGCAATGTGTGTGTGTATATAGGCTGGGTACTAGTTTAGTTCAGGGCTCCGGTTTGTTCTGGAAAAGACTTGAAATCACTTTTAAAAATGCATGATGCCGAAGATAAAACAACTGAAGATGAAAATGAGACAAAGGGTGGTTAGGGAAAGAGAAGGGAGATGAAGCCAGGAGTGAGGTTCGGGCACAGAATACGTGCAGTGTGGGTCTGTGCGCTTGGCAGTGTGGCCAGGGAGAACTGGCCTGAGCTACTTGACAGTCGGGGCAAAGAGACACAGTTCAACGGCCCCGGGTCCGCAAGGTACATGCAAACCGTTTTCACAGAACTACAGTTTCTGACCCTGAGACCAGAAAAGATTTCCCCCAAGAGTATTTATAAAGAGGACCCTGTGCTGTACTGAGCAGGGTGCTGGACAGCAGGTGTCTGGCACAGACGCTAAGCCCCCTGCGGCTGTATCTTATGATGTGCCAGTGGCCCGAGCACGGCTCTGGGTACGGAGGGGATTCAAGGGAAAAGACAGTGTAGCCCATAGGACACCATGTTAAGTAAACTACAAATTAGGGGGGGGTGATAAACTGAGCTCCAAACGTCGAATAGCTTTAATTTCCTCAGGCTGTGGAAGGCAGGCAGACATGCACACATGTGTTCATACATGTGCATGCCCCTGCCCCATGCCTTCCCTCCTAGGCTCAGCTTCCTCTCTATTGTCCTGCTGACTGGGGGCCCCAAGTAGGAGGAGGTCCTGTGTCCCCCGGGACACTCCTTAGCATGTGGGACCCCATCGCGGACAGTGGGCGTCTCTGTTGAATCTACACCTACTACTTGCAACCTGAGAATAGAATATCTAAACTGAGATAGAGCATCTTAGCTCAACCCCTTCCCTTTACAGGTAAGAAAGTTAGAGCCCCAGAGGGTGTCATCTTCTACCCGAGATCACACAGGGGTGGAGCAGAGGCTGAAGCTCGGGGTCTCCTGTTCTCACTCCAGTTCCCTAAGCTGCCACTGCGAAGAAAAATCAAATTGGGAATCTCGTTGTAGAAGGAAAATCTCGTCAGATAATTCCTCGTTGGAGCTATGGAATAGCTTTAGATTATATAATTTTATTCAAACTGAGATGGGCCAATAAATATAAATGTGTGTGCGTGTTCGCTGTTTTAAAACATTTTAATGTTTAAAACATGATTTACTAATGCTGCTGAGGATGTCTAGAATTTGATTTACTGCATAGTATTGAATGTTTATACTTGTTCCTTACAGAAATTCTTGCCAAAGAGCCATTTTATCTACAAGAATAATAAATAAGTCAATATGCGGATGGCTGTGCACATTTTTCCCATATGCAATCATACTTGGTAGATGTATTTTGCACGCAAACACTGCAAAGGTAAATGGGAGACACACGCGGACCCTTGAAGTCCAGGTCTTGGCCAGTGTCAAAATCAGACAGTGAATCTTGACCTAAGCCAATAAAACAGTGAGTCCAAGTCTTAGGTGATATTTGGGTTTGGGAATAAGGGATCCACACCTATGTAACTGTACTTAGCCATATGTGTGTATTTATTCATTCCTTCACTCATTCAGCAAATATTTATCAGACATCTATGTTTGATTCAGTAGCTTAAACAGTAGGATAGGTTTTTGCTTCATGGAAATTCAAAGATAACAGATACAAATTCCCCCAACTTTGTATTTGCAAAGCACTAGAAGGCCTTTTTATGGAATCTTCACAAGAATCCTATGGATGGCTAGGGCCAGAAGGAGTCAGGTTACCTGAGTGGAAGTGAAGGTATCCCTTTTGTTTGCTTGTTTATTTTTATCGCTCCCCATTATGGAAATAATGCATGTCCATTGTTAGAAAGAGTATAGAAATATTTAAAAAGAATGTGAGAAAGCAGCCTGTACCCCGACCTCAGCCACAGTTAACATCACATGCTGTGTACAGAGTTTTCATGCTTAGAGACATGCTAGACGCATGTGTGTATATGGTTATAGATAAGATTATTTTTTTCTTTACGTAAATAGGATTATGCTGCAATATAATTCTGTAACTTGATTTTTCTCCACCCCATACCCTGTCCCCGGGCCTCGGTTTGGATGAACACGTCGTGCCACATCTGTCTGTGCAAATCCAGCTTGCTCTTGTTTGGGGCAGTGTCGTTTTTCTTTGTTGAGAGTGTACGATGATTCTTTTGCCTTTTTCAGCCTTTCTTCTCTCTCGCCCTCAGGTTGTCGGTCTTCTCTTGCCCAACCAGACACTGGCGTCCACCGTCTTCTGGCAGGTAACAGTCTCCCGGGACACACAGGTGCTGGTTAAGATCCCCCTGCCCTGATGCCCTGCCCCGTCCAGGCCCCTGGGGTAGAGTCAGTTCCCCACCCCTCCCCCATCCCAGAAGCCAGTGAGGAAAACCAGGATGTTGGCCCCACTGAGCAGGTCCCCAGCAGCCGGCGTGTCTCAGGCCATTATGTGTCCCTCTAACCTTTGGACAGAGGTGATGGGAGCCGGGTGCCCTCATGTGGATCACGATGGCTTGCTGGTGGCCACTTGTCTTAGAGTTGGTGACCTTGAGGCCCACGGCCTCATTTTGGTGTCAGCCCCACCCAAATCTGTAGGGGAAGGTAAACCCACCCCTACCCTTAAGGCAGGAAAGTACCTCACAGACCCTGCTCTCTGCTCTTGGCTCTGTGAAAATAGTTGAGGATGTCCCTGGACGTGTCTGTGCAGGGAAAGAGGGGCAGGAAGAAAAACCTGTCTTCTGGGAGAAAATGCCAGAAAGTCTTCCCTGAGCACAATTCCTGACAGCACGTGTGTCTGGTGCTCGAGGTGCCGCAGGGTGCTGGGCTGGGAGGTTGCTGAAAGAAGTGCAGGGCTGTCGGTCATTCCTGCCCGCCTTGCTGGCCACCTTCCGCCTAGCGAGTGGTACACTAGGGAGGACGTGGCAAAGGCAGTGGGCCTGCTGGGGCAGTGAATGCCATAATTCCAGGAGGGGTGACGGCTTCTGGATCGGGGTGGACTGTTGGGGTGGGCAGCACCACATCCTGGTTTGCCAGGAACAGAGAGGGTTCCCGAGACTTTCGGTGCCAACACCAGCACGGTCCCAGGCAAACCGGGACAGTTGGTTATGCTTACTAGTGGGAGAACCATCTGTGAGCTGCAGACAGCGTGCCATGTCTTTCTAGGGGGGTGTGGTGCCCCCTGGGGCCCGAGGCCTGGCTTCCGGGGAGGTGACCATTCCTTCCCTGACTTCTCTCTCTGTTGCTTTTCAGTGGCTGAACCAGAGCCACAATGCCTGTGTCAACTATGCAAACCGCAATGCTACCAAGGTGAGTGTCAAACCTTCTGCCCAGGGTGGGGTTCAGGGTGGGGTGACCTAGTTGTCCTCTGTACAGTGTGACATGCCACCATTCGTGACTGCCTCTTCTCAGTTAAGCGTTGCCCTCCTCTAGGTGCCTTATTTAAGCTGCCAACCCTTCAGGCGGGGCGGCAGACTCAGACCTCACCTGCCTGAGCTCAGCAGGAGTGTCCGGGCTGGCTTGGCCGGGGGTGTTGGGGGACTGTTTACCTGAAGTGGAGCAGATCCGTTAAGTGGGGTGTGGGGGCCAATAAAGGATGGATTCCGCTGGCTTCAGAATTCTTCTTGAGCAGCTCTCACACCGGATCTTGGATCAGGACAGTGTCAGCCACATGGGGACCAGTTCCCCTAAAGCTTTCTCCAAACTTGATGGAAGCTGTCTTAGTGCCCCCAGCTCCTGACTGCTGGCCACAAAGCCACAGGGCCCCTGAGGGCTGAGGGTCCGAGAGGACTGGCTCCTCCTCCCCTGAGTTCCCTGCTTCCCTGGGACAGCTCGTGGTGGAGGCCCAGTCACCAGCTGTTGTCCAGGAAGGGCTGCTGGGCCCCTGCTTCACTGGCTAGGCCACCTGTCCCTCTGTTCGATTCTCCCTTACTTCAGTGCAAAGGCAAAGGGAGGGGAGGAGGCACCTTGGTCCCCTTTGGGGGGGCTGTCAGTTTGGGGAAGGGGAGGTTATTGGCATTTCTAACCTGGGGGGAGGGAGGAGGACTCAGGAGCTGGCCTGGGCTGTAGGAACTTGAGGAGCCCGATGCTCTGAGGATCCCCCCACCTAAACCAGCCAAGCGTCCCATGAGCTTCACACACGTGCAGCTCTGCGTGGGTGGGTCCTGTTTACCTTACCCAGACATCTCCAACCCGCAGTTGCAGTGGACAAGTTCCTCATGTTCTGTGTTGGAAGTTGGGCTGTATTCGTCTATAGAGCTGTCTATTATCTTTGACACGGAAACCTAATTGCTACAAGGGCTGCAGGGCCTGTGAGAGGCAGCCTCGGCACAGGCGTGTCCGCCTGGAAGTGCTACATGTGCCACACGGCCTGCTTGTAATATGTAGCCTTCCTAAACCGGAGACTGCCGGTCCCGGCCATAGTGGTCCCTTTTGGCCCTTGCTGTTCTCCACCTCCAGCCCGCACTGTCTGCCAGTGACCTTTCTAGAGCAGGGCAGAAGTGGAGCGTGTTTCCACGTTGGAACCGAGCTGAGGGAGGCCTGGATCCCTCCGGCTTCCTGTGGGGCCTCTTTGTTCTCACCTGACCTTCCAAGCTGGTGGGCAGGGAGGCTTCTTGCTGGCTGGAGCAGTTTGCAAGGGTGGTGTGTGGGGGCCTTGGGCAGCCAGCAGGCCTGAAATTCTACCTCTGTCTTCCAGCCTTCACCTGCATCCAAGTTCATCCAGGGCTACCTGGGCGCTGTCATCAGTGCTGTCTCCATTGCTGTGAGTACTTCCCCCCCACCTCCTTCCTCTTGGTCCTGCTGTGCCGCCCCATCTAGCATTGCAGGAGGACCTTGTCTGAGGGCCAGGGCCGGCGGTGGTGCAGCCGGCAGGCTTCTGTGGCTAGGCCACCGGGGCAGGCTTTTTAGGCAGGGAAGAGACTTTGACGGAGAGAGAGCACCAACTGGCGCTCCGTGGTTTGGGGGCAGGCGGGCGGTGGGGCGGTGCCCGCGGGGCCCTGGGCAGCACGCCTGTCCTGAGAGGGGCCGTAGTTACCTAGCACTCTTCTCAGAGGAGCTGATCTTCATGCTCGGGGACGCAGCTGAGGGGAAGGGCAAGGGAATGAACCTAGAAGGTTGGCCCATGTGCCAGCTTCACTGAGCTCCCGGGCTATCCCCTCTCTGGGACCTTGGTCACACAGTCACATGAACAGTCCTTCTAGAAGACCTGTAAGGTCCTCAAGACAGGGACATTAGGCTCCTTTTGAGTCTCCACAGGACTTTGAGACAAGAGCAGCTACTCAGTAGGGGAGATTTGTAGACTGACTGTGTGAGTGTAGGGTGGACGGTGGGTCCCTGTTTCCCAGAAAGGGCAGAGGGCAGGTGACATAGTGACGGCCTGGGCCAGAGCCAGAGTGGATGCTCAAACTGCCAGGACCTTGTCCCACCCTTGAGCCCACCTCGTGCCTCCACCTGGCACCCACTAGATCCTCACTGGGAAGGCCTCCTACGGCCGACTCCAGAGGGCGAAGGGTCCCTTCACGGCTTCCTCATTTCATTCATTACGCAATAAATACATGCAATTGGTAAGAAAAAAATAATTTGAAAATGCAAATCAAAAAACATTCATATAATGGCCGGGCTTGGTGGCTCACACCTGTAATCCTAGCCCTCTGGGAGGCCGAGGTGGGGATCATTCAAGGTCAGGAGTTCAAAAAAACCTTCACAAAGCTGGGCATGGTAGCCCATGTCTATAGTCCCAGCTACTCGGGAGGCTGAGGCAGGAGGATCGCTGGAACCCAGGAGTCGGAGGCTGCAGTGAGCTATGATTGTGCCTGTGAATAGCTACTGTACTCCAACCTGGGCAACATAGCCAGGCCCTGTTTACAGACAAAAGAAAAAAAAAAAAAAAGAAAAAGAATTCACATATAATGAAAGAATCCACATATAATAATCTTTTGGGAAAACCTACTTTTTTTTTTTTCCAGTGTCATTAAATGAATACTGTATGATAATTGTTCACAACTATGTTATAACCCGTGATGCCACACATCATAGTTTATTTTGCTATTCTTCTAAAGTAGGGATTTGGGGTTGTCCTGAAATGGCCTCATTTATTTTACTCCCACGTAGACCAAGCCATCTCCAAATAGCTGTGAAGTGGGACATCCCATCTCATGCCCGAGATCTCTTTCCTTTCCTAAATCCGCATGTCTTAACGCCAGCGAGAAAGAAGCCAGACCTTGCGAATCTACTTCGACGGCCCGCCAGGAGACCGCTCGCCCCACCCTGGTGGTCCTGCAGCCAGCGTGAGGCTGCATGTGGGAGTCATACAAACTGGGGGTCCCTGATTCTGGGGGCTTGCTGGGCTACAGCCAGGGGCTCTCCTGAGCGGGGAAAGGGCTCGCTCACCTCCTCCTTGTTCCTCACAACGAAAGGAGTTGGTGGTCTGCCTGGTGAGGAGCGTGAAAATCCCCCTCCTCCTCTGTGAACTAAGGGAGACATGGGGAGGAGTTGGGAGGAAGAGGCCATGTAGGGAATGGTGTTGAGTGGCCCTGAATGGAAAGGGCTTGGAAGAAGGGGATCATTGTTCTGGTGGGACTCACTTCCAATGCAGGCCTGGAGCTCCAGGAACAGGAATTCAGCTTCTTCCGAGAGCTCGGGGGCTCTTATCCCCTGTCCTCACTGCCCCACCCAAGGGCCCATCAGCCATCCCATCCCAACCACTTCCCCAGGCAAGGCTAGTGCAGACAAGTGGGGTAGAGGTTCTGAAGACAGGCCCGGCGGAGTTACTAGGGGACTTGCGGCCCTCCGAGGCTCCCAGAGCTGCGATCTTGCCTGGCAGGGATGAGGCCTCATGCTGGAACGTGCCTGTGCTGGGGACGCCCTCCTGCCTCCTCCCTGCCCAGCTCCAGCACCCCACCCCCCACCCCCAGGAGCCCTTCCCTGACCACTCCAGCCCATACTGCTCCCCCTCCTCCCAGGTCCTGGAAACTTCCGTCCTCCGCACTCGCACTCTGTCCCGTCCTGTCCACATTCCGCAGTCTGAACCCCATCCCAGCTGGATTACGAGCTAGCCAGGGACAGGCACTGTGTCTTCTCCCCCACAGAGGGGAGCACGGAGCGCTGCTCCATAAATACTTATTAATTAGGTTGCTGATTGATTGCTGGCCTCAGGAGGCCCCTCTCCTCACCCATCCACGAGCCGCAGCGGCGGCGGCCTGACGTCTTCACACAGTGAGGGTCTAACTCCGGCAGATGGAGCGGAGTTTCTGACTTGGAAAATCTACAGCTTGCTTGCTTTTCTTTTGTGTGTGTAAATCACAAAACCTCCGGAGAAAGGGCCTTTATTTTATTTCCCTTTCCCTTGTTCTCTGGAACCCCAGGTCCCGCAGCCTCATTAACTGATCTCTGCTTCAATTAGAGACAAATCCCCTCCCAGGGAGAGCCTGTTAGGAGGAGATGACCTGCAAACAAGTGTCACGGCCCCAGTGGTTGGCCCAGCTCTGGCATTAATTAAAACGAGTCCCTACAAGCAGGTGGCACGGATGGGGGCTGACAGGCCAGGAGCAGGTCCTGGGGACTGAGGGTGAGCGGAGTGGAGGCCAGCCTCCTCTGCGGAGCCTGGAGAGCCCTCTCCCCACCTCAACGAGCCCTGACCTTGGCCGCAACCTCCAAAACCAGGGATCCCCCTTTGCACGCCCCCAAATGCAGTCTTATGCTAGTTGCAGGACCACCGGGGTGGGATTAGCAGCCTCTTGGTGAACCTTCTAAATAGATTTGGCAATGTCTGGCTTCTTGCTTGAGAATAAAAAAGAAATTCCGTCTTAAGTTATTTTTGAAGTCTAACAGTTTGCTGTCTTTTAACAAAAGAAGCCTCTCTCCATCCTCACTGTTCTTTCGTTCCGGAGTTTTGCGGGGCGCTTCTGTGGGCAGCCCTCACGGGCCCTGGCTGCACGAGGGTGACAGGAGGCAAGACCCAGTGCTCCTGTCAGGGGTCTGTGATGTGCCAGGCACTTTGCAGGAACTGGGAGCCGCAGAGACTGGCGTGTCCTCCAAGATGCTGAGAAGGGAAGCTGAGAACGCTCTGTGGTACAGTCAGAATTATGACGAAGGTGACCCTAGTGTGTCATGGGACCAGGGGAAGGACCCCTAATTCGACACAGGGAATGACTCACAGGACAGACCAGAGAGAGCCAGGGGAAGGCAGGGCACAGTGTTCGAGAGAGAGGGCCCAGCACACGCAGAGGCATGCAGGAGAAGGACAACACGACAAATTTGGGACGCTCAGAAACTGAGTGCGGCGCCAGGTGGGGAGTGCTGGAGACGAGGTGATAATGAGAGAGGAGCAGAGGACTGGCCGTGAAGTGCCACAGGAGGCAGGAGCCCGAGCCTGGAACCCGACATGTACTCAGGGACCTGGGCATTGCAGGGGTGTGGGCAGAAGTGGGCTGGAGGAGGAGTGGGGGGGCTTGGCAGGCCCAGCACATGGACCACCCTCACGGGGGCAGATCCTGGCTGAGGGGAAACCTGGGCTGGGGAGGAAGACTCTGGGCTGAAGTCCTGCATGACTGGGCAGGAGCGGGTTGGTGGAGGCAGGTGATGAGAGACATTTCGTACCCGTGCCTGAAATTCTTGCCCTTCAGCTGGGTCTTGGCCTTTCCCCATTGGGACAATGCTAACTTCCTTTCCCAAAGGCTCTGGGCCCCAGGAGGTCTTTCTGTGTGAGATGCAGTGGTCGTCTGTTAACCTTCACTCCCAGACACTGGAGTACGAGGAGTGGTCCCAGGGCATCCCTGGGCTGAACCCTCCTGCTGGTTCCCCTTGCCTGCTGGCAACTGCACGTTCCCCTGATAGAGTGGCAAATAATCGTGATAACAGTCACGACGGCCAACACTAGCAGAGCGCCCGCAGCGCTCCAGGCACTGCTTAGGCGCTCGTCCCCATTTCATAGATGCCACCGAGGTGAATTAAGTGACAGCTTACCCACCTTAATCACACACTGTTCTGCTCCCCATGTGGCATAAGGAGGCATAAGTCATGTTCCCTGTTTCCCAGGTGGCAGGAACTATTACCATGCCCCCCGGTGTCAAAGCGCTCCCTAGGTTCCGCTAGAACGGTGGGCACTGGGAGAAATTTTTTCAGAGCTTCTTTAGGTGTAACAAAGTTAGACCCTCTGCTCACCTTCATACTTGGGCCCTAGGCCTGTGTTTTCTGGCCAAAGCAGCATATATTTATCCCTGGTCCAGAGCATGCGCTATGTCCTGCAGGACAGGGCGCGGCTGGCTCTATGGTGGAGGGTGTACTTCTTGGGGCCGGTTCTTCTTGGGGCCTGATGGAGGTAAGGTGACGGTACCTGTGAGTCCTGGACCAGATTATTGTCCTCCTGCTTTCAGTGAGTGGCTTCTGGGTTGGAGGGCCCATTGCACGGACCCTGTAGCAGCATCTGAAGTGTTCGGAAGCCTGCAGATGGTGATGCTGGCAGTGGCGAGTCAGACACGAAAAGCAGCCCAGCATCTATTCTGGGGAGGATGAGTTGTTGTCCCCTCCTATGTGGAAGGAGTCTGGTGTAATTGGTTTCCCAGCAGCCGACCCCCTGGTCCCTGTGCGGCATGGTTGGTCACAGTTGCCAGCAAATAAGCCATGCAACTGCAGTGCTAACTGGCACTTTAGCCCATGAATAACTCCATTGCAGCCATTTGGCTACTGTGACAGAGTTATAGGCTGCCCCCACTGTCAAGCAACAGGGTGACTAGGGTTAGAGGACAATTGACCTCTATGGAG